TGGACTCAACTGGCTGGGTTAGGCAGATCGCAGGATCGGTTAGCACTCTAGTCTGCTCGTTCGGGTTTCGAGTCACTGCTCCAGTCGATAATTCGCTGCTCTCTAATTGACGGTCTCATCACCTCACCCATCAACTAATAATCCACTCGGCCACAGATATAACACCCTCACATGGAATCCTGAAGGTCAAAGGAGAAGAGGAAGACCAAAGAACACATTACACCGAGAAATAGAGACAGGCATGAGAAGAATGAACAAGAACTGGATAGAACTAGAAAAGAAGGCCCAGGACAGAGTGGGTTGGAGAATGCTGGTCGGCGGCCTATGCTTCATTGGGAGTAACAGGCGAAAGTAAGTAAGTAAGTAAGTAAGATATGGCGTTAGAATAAGGGTTTGTGCGTGCAGACATAGTTTGGGGTGTTGCTATGGTAGTCTCAATTAAGTGCAAAAGATAATCAATATGTATAATGTTATTGTCTTAATCCAAAACTTCGTAATCTTAAGAATAGTATTTATTTAGAAGGAAACAAAATAACAATAATGAAGGAGAGAGATAAAAGAAATGAACACATAGTGAAAGGGTCCAACCAAAATCATAATAGTGTAATGGTTATAGACTTTTGAGATAAACGAATAATTTAAAAAATAATAATGAATAAATAAGGAAAATCATAAATAAATAAATAATAACAATAATAGTAACAATAGTAACAAACCTTTACTGCACTCGGATAAATACGTGTAAATTTATGTAACCGTACACAATGTGAAACCGGGTATTGGTATAAACATTAGTGAAATGGTAATTTAGAATAATTCTATGATAGTCACAATTAATTGCAAAGGATAATCAAATATAAATTTATATATGTAATACATATATGTTGTGAAGATTATAAAATAAAAATAAAAATCTGAGAATTTATTTGTCAGGTGTAACATAGGGTTTTTTGTTTTTAGTTGCAGACTTTGCATGTTTAGGAATAAAATATGTTTAGAAGGACAAGAAGAGATGAAAAGAATATCTCATGTGTCGGGGGACCAATAATGATAATAATAACAGTAATAATTATTGATACGAACATAAGCAGACTTCATATATTAAGATGAATGAGAATGAAATGAAATCGGCATGAAAAGTATCAAAGGTTTCACTTTGCTTTTCAGTTAGTTCGATAGATGACGGACCTTTTTTTATATATCATTGTTAATCATGTTGATATTCAGTAGGTGACACAATCCACTTTCGGAAAGAAAAATATCAAGAAGACTTCGGAACCGGGTTGTAGTTTCACTGCATCGGATGTTCACTGGCAGTCTATTCCACATGGTTGAGTAGCGAATAACAAAAAAATTCTGGCGTAAATTTGTGTGGGTTTTTGGAATCGCTAGAATATTTTCCTTATTGCGTAGATTGTGGGACGGTATCATAGAGTATGAAGGGGTAGAAAACGAAGAGTAAGAAATACCGTTAAGAAGCCGGTGGGGAAAGATAAGGTTTAATTTGATACGCCTGATCCAGAGAGGTTCTAGTTTGAGTTGTTGACATCTTTGGTGATAGTCTTTGTTGTCAGAATACCCCAAAACAGCTTTTGTGAACCTTCTTTGAACACCTTCAATTTTAATCAGGTCATTATGTCTGCAATTACTATAAACTAAAATACCATATTCAAGAATGGGTAAGATACATTTTCTGTATAACAATAATCTCGATTCAGTATTATTGAAATCAATAATTATGAATCCGATGAGCTTTCTAGCTTTGGATACTTGAGATGCAATGTGTTCAGAAAAGTTCAAACTGTCGCTATATCTTAAACACAAGTCACGAAAAGTGTTAAGAGGTTTCAGTATATGCTTGTGTAAAGGCAGATTTAGGTTAAGGCAGCGGCCGGTGTTAATAAATCCACTTTTGTCAACATTAAGTGGTGAATTCCACGAAATAGTCCATTCGTACAACTTGTTTATTTCTTCTTGGATTACCGTTGATATATAGCTTTCTTTGGTGGGAGATGAGAATGAATAAACCACTTTTAGATCATCGGCAAGAAGAAAAGGTTTACCATATTGAAAGAGGGAGCAAACGTCATTGATAAAAAGGAGAAAAAATTAATGGACCAATTACACTTCCTTGTATAGCCACACTGGTTACATTCACAGGTTTGGAGTAGCAAGATTCAAAGCGGACAATTTGGCTACGTTCTTCTAAAAATAATTTGAGCCAAGATTGCTTAGTCGGATGCGTCTACGGCGATACTAGTGGGCGCTTGAGTGTCCTGATGTGCGGGCAGGGTTGTCTTTGCGATGAGCTCCTTAATTGTGGAGAATGCTTTCAGCACGGTGTCGTCTACATTAATTGATTTCGCATTTCTACGAAGTTGGTCGGTTAACGGTTTCATAAGGGATGAGCATTCCGGTATGAACCGTCTATGGAAACTTACAAGGCCGTTAAACGTGCGAAACTGCTTAATTTTGATCGGCTCTGGGTAATCCAGAATGATCGCCACTTTGCTTCTTAGAGGTCGGATGTCTTGAGCATCAATAGTGTATCCTAGGAAATATTAAGTATTTTATTGTTTTTTATTCCAAACACTTAGGTATATTGTCTTTTATTTAGGTTATTAATTATTAAACACCTCCAACTTTCCCACTTCTTGTCCTTATTTTTTCCTCACCTTACTATTATTAAGGTAATACTAATACTATTAGCGTTAATTCTTCTATATTGTATACGAATCCTCATCATTCCAAATTACCAAGTTTCACATGAGCTTGGTGATAAGAATTTCTGATGAATAGCAATAGTTAAAATAAGGATACCAAAAGTGGTGAAATCTAAGAAGTCGGTTCCGAGTCGGGATTTCTGAATGTTTACAGTAATGTCATGCCTCTGGAGTCGTTCAGAAACAATGTCCAGATGTTGTTATGATAGAGACTTTTGGATTATCCTCAGTAGCCTTAGGGATTTGGTTATAAACTTCAACCAAAAGACGGTTTCATCTTTCAAGGTAGCTGTCAAATCGTGAATGTGAGGCAACGGGTAACGATCGGGAATGGCTTTAACATTCAGACGCCGATAATCACCAGTTGGACGCCAATCATTTCTGTCCTTTTTAGGGACCATGTGCAAGGGAGATGACCATGGGCTATTTGACGGTCGAATGTTTCCTAAGTCTATCATGTGGTGGAATTCGTTTTTAGCCAACATAAGCTTTTCGGGAGCCAGTCGGAGTGCTTTTGAGAATATAGGTGGTCCTGTAGTCGAGATGTGATGTGTAACATTGCTGGTTACACACGGCAATTTAGGTTGCGGTTGATATTTCCCAGAATATTTATCGAGTAATGGTTGATATAAGGGGTCTATGGCGTGCTTAATTGGGACTGGAGATAATCTGCAACCAGAAAGAGGAGTTACGCAAACATATAACTTAGTGTTTCCATCTATTAACCTTCGTTTACATGTGTCTTGAAGATTAGATTGTGTTATTGTAACAGGTCTATATCAATAATTGGCATTGAAACGTCTGTGACCACGAAAATCCAGTGGATGGGTTTGCGTAAACCCACGTTAAGGTAAACGTACCTTTTCCCATATGTGGCGATCAGTTTTCCATTTACCGCCTGTAATCTTAAAACAAATACGTGAAGTCTGTCGTTGGAAGTCGCAGGAAGAACGCTAACTTCTGTGCCAGTACCGACGAGGTAGCGAACCTTCGTAGTCACATCCGTGACGTGTAAGAGACGGCTATGTTCGCCGGCTACGGTTGTCGTTAACGCGTGTCGTCTGGAAAGTTTCTTGAACTGTTTTTCGTGTCATTCAGTTTTGAGGTCGGATAATCTCATGGTTTTCCGCAATTTCTAGAAGACTTCCCATATTGGTTAAGATACTAACATCAGTCGGGGTTATCCGTTTCTCGTGGTCCCGACACAGATCGCCTACGTGAAACGCTTCTTCGGGAGGTTTGTGACCGTCTACGGTCATTACGAAATCGAAGATAGCGTGTCAGTGTATGACATAGTTCCGTGACGTCATTCGGGGTCGTTTGATGTTTTTCTTTGACTGAAAAGACCTCGGCATTAGTAGATTTTGCGATTTCTAAAATGCGGTCAGCAGATGCAGCCAGTTCGTCTGTTTTGAAACGAGACGAGAACTGTTTGCACCTGTTGAGGAAGTTTAGACACGAAAAGTTGTCTGAATAGGCCATCATCGAAAGTTCGTCGGCGGATAACTTCTCTCATCCTTAGCAACATGTTTGTCGCAGAACCATCTTGCAAGTCGATGCTATTGAGGAGTTGGTCTAACCTATGTCGATCGGTTAGATCTCCACGTCCCAGAATCGATCGGTTTAGCGTTTCGTAAGGTTCCGAAACATCACTAGAAAACATATTAGGTGTGACGTACCTGTTAAATTCGCACGATAGTGCCTTAACAACCGCGAGGAACTGTGTGGGTGAGTCCGTAATGCCGTGCCCGCAAAATCAGCTTCTGCGTAGTAGAACCAGGCTCCGATATTTTCGGCCAAAAAGACGTTAACTGAATCGAGGGTGGGGGGATAGTCTTTAACTTAAATACTTTTGGTGTCTGTTCCGTCATAGTGAAAAATCAAGTATTATAATGAACGAAAAATAAATAATTTAAGTATATCCGAAAACTCGAAAAAAATATCACCATATATAAAAGTCAAATAAAGCAAAACGATGATTAATGAAGTTCTATAAAGGAACAGACTTACAGTTTATCGTTTGGTGTACCAGATCACGTCGATCTCACCACCTATCTAATGCAGTTAAGAGAAAGATAACCATAGACATAAATAAAAATCAAACGAACGAACCAATCAGTATCATAATATGGTCCGTTACAACCTTGCCGTAGTAGAAAAAATTTCCTCTGTTCACGAAGCCTCACCTGAAATTGTAAATTGTTCAGTTTCACTATTGAATACTACTTGGGTTGTTAGTACAAGTGAACTTTGAAGCTTAGCCTACGCACGTTTTGGATGACGGCTGTTGAGAGTGAACAACGCGTTAAGGACGAAAAAGAAAAGGAAGAGGAGAAGCCGCGTCCACATCCACTCCAAGACTCGTAATAAAAAATAAAATCTTAGATGGTTGTTTAGGTGGTCTTATTATTTGTTCCAGTTCAGAAAGGCACTCGATTGGGATGAATGTCTAGAAAAGGTGGCAACTTTCAGCACTATTGAGGACTTCTGGAGCGTACTCACTCATACAGTTAGACCGAGAGAGATAACTTATGGCAAAGATTTGTATATGTTCAAATCTGATATTATGCCGAAGTGGGAGGATCCGAAAAATGAAAATGGGGGACGTTGGCTAATCAATGTTACTGCACGACAAGACGTCGACTTGTAAGTCGGTTATTTCTCTCCATTTTTCCCTGTAATTTTTTACTAAACTGCACATGAGGGCCGAATTTCTATCGATATTAGGTATTGGTTCATTGCAATAATGTAGTTTATTTCACTTATCTTCCAACATTTTCCCTCTAGGTCAGTATGCTTACCAGATAACACGTAGAACACAGAACAGTTTCCTATATCGACCTGCCAATTCGTATGTGATTCCAGATAAATAATACGTCACGACAAACCTTTCCCCTTTCATTTTGACCTCAGTTTTTCTGCAGAATCCACATGTGCAGATGCCAATCATTAGCTTATAGTCAGCAAAAACGAAGTTCTTAACCATGTTCCAGACACTTGTCCTTGTCACTTATGCTTACCTACTTCAAGTTAACACCCTCCTTTCAGTTTGGGTCTACTGGTTGGTTTTATTAGCCCTCACGCGACTAAGTTGTGACTCATGGCTGTGCACATAAATCCATACTTCCCATCTGGGTAAATCACATTTGTATGAACTTAACTGACTGACCATATGTGACATCCAGCGCTGTATCATTGAGTTTGGTTTTCGTCTCATTATCATCACTACATCGTTCCCAGGAAGAGTTACTACCACACTTTTTTCTCTCACGAGGTTACCTGTTCCGAGTCGTCAGTGATGTGCGCCATTTTGCTATGCTGCTTATGTTTCTGATCGCGTTCTTATTCTCTTGTCAAGTTTATTCTAAACACTAGTTTGCAAACTAGCTGAAAATCAAGCACTTACCAAGATTTCCAAGATATGTTGGTGGTTTTTTAAGAACTAAGGTCAGAAATCTCTACTCCTTTATGACCATATTTTGCATTGCCTTCTCAGCCAGATTTTTCGTCGCTGCCAACATTTCTACCTAACGATTAACAACTTGTATTCTTGTTTCTGTAGAGAGCCAGTTTCATCCTACCTAATTAATCAGCAGCGTTACCTAGCGAAGTCGTACATCGTTTCAAGTCGAATATTCTCAGGTGATACTCGGAAATCTGGCATATTGTCTAACCATCGATCTCTCTATTTGCCGCCAAGTTTCCACGTAATCATTTTTCAGTCATTGACAATTAATGCGTATACGGTCCGTTCCAGGAATCTTGGTTTTTTTCTTACGACAAGCGTAGTCAATATTTTCCATGGAAATCGGTACGACAAAAATTATTTCGATTCGACAGATGCATAATAAGCAATGCGATTGCAGACGCCTTGTAAACACACCTGTAAGCCTCTGAACTAATCGAATTATAAATGCTTCGGATTGTGCCATGCTTGTTAAAATCGAGATTTTTTTGTGGGTCGGCAAAATACTAGATTAGGTCTGCTACACACCTAGGAGTAAAGACATCTGATCATGAATCTATAAGCACTTCTTTCTCAGGCTCTCGTGTACAATTGTTGATAAGTGTTATTCGTGGTCTGAACATGTACACCCGACTCCAGATCACATGTGTCTTTTTCTTTTCTCTTGAGGATTCCAAGTCAGGGTTTGCCATGTGATGTGGTTTGATAGTTTCCACAGGATGTGTACTCCAGCATGTTTTCTTAATCCTCTTGCTCAACTGACAATCAGTTTGTTCCCTATTACAGTAGGTTATTGCTGCTTGTCTCTGGCAGAAGGGTTTTGCGTGGGCGTCTGTTCATAAATACCTGTGCTTCCTGATGATGGTGGTAGTTCTTCAAATTCCAGCCCCATACAAAAAAATTTTAAAGTTCTAAAAATTCCGACTTAAGTCTTGGGTGAAAGTTCCTTCGAGTTCCAAATGTTCTTGAACTAAAGAGACGCTTTAAAATCTTTATGAGATCCATCTTCATCGATAATGGTGCCCAGGCAAATAAAATTCTCCACTTCTTCGGGAGCTTCACCATCAAGTCTGATTTTTGTGCTGCTCGCTATGTTGTGTTTCATGATCTTGCTTTTTTGCTTTTGAATTTTTTGAAGTCTATTTCTTTGAAAGCCTCTAGTCGTCTTCGTCTGCATATGTTGCTGCGCATGCCTGATACTGATATTCACCGCAAGCTGCCATCCATACTCAACCTTGTACTTCAGTCCCTTGTGGGAGTTTCGTATGTTGATAATCTCAGATACTTCATACTGATGAAAAAGATTCCGGTGTTTTTCTATTTCACCTGTCGAATGCTTTTTCATAATCAGGGAAGTTGATGTATAGTGATGAGTTACATTCAAACAATTCCTGAACAGTAATCCGCAGCGGTGCAATCGATTCTTACAAAAGCCAGCTCGCTTATCATTAAGTTAAAAGTCTACTGGATCTTTCATTAAGTTCAGCAAAATTTGAAAATTGCCTGTAATACCTTTCTACTTTTCACACTCACTCAAGTCTTTCATCGGTATCTTGAAGAGGTATGCCTTTTGCCTGTCTGTTGGTACTTGTTCTTCCTCTCAAATCTATCTAAGGAGAACGTGGATTATCATTGAAACCGCCTCGATGTATGACTTTAATACTTCAGCCGGTATGCTCTTTAGTCCTGTTGCTTTACTATCCCAGATTTGTCAGAAGGCGTTGTTAATTTCTATTTTGATGCAGATTACTGAGTTTTGTTTTCTAAGAAGTTTATCTTTTCGTTTAAATGTTGGCAATTTTTACATAGAATGTTTATATCTTCCATTTCAGTTTATGGGATGAATTGTTGATGCTTTTGATCGGTTCCGACTGGGATACGGATGAAGAAGATAGACAAATATGTGGAGCGGTGTTTCAACCACGGTCTCGGGGTAGCAAGCTTTCAGTTTGGCTAACTAGTGACAATGAAGAAGAAACTATCCTAAGCATTGGGAGGCGAATTAAAGAGCGTTTAGAATTAGAAGACACGATCTACTTTCAACCTGTTTCTGATCAAAGATCACAAACTAGAGGCAGCGATATTTGTACTGGAAAATATGAAATTTAGTTCTATACTGTTGCACTAACATTTGTTTTGCATTCCTTATACTTCTCTTGGCCGAACAAGGAGATTTTGTACATGTTTTCTTCAACCTCCCGTTTTTTTCCATCATTTTAATCTTAGTAGAGACATTTATTGCTATCAACTAAAAGGTTGTTTTGTGGGTCACAAGATTATGTTCCTGCTGTGTTTCCATAATTCCTTTCCGGATTAAGGGTATTATTCTTACTGTTTTGTTAATTAGCTATCTTGAAGATAAACAAACGATATAGTATATGCCAATTTTGTCATTTCAAGACTCAATTATATGAGTAATATTCCCGAATTTAGTAAAATGCTTTGAAATACGATTTGACCTTCGTATTTATAGGTAGGTGGTCAGTTCTATCAGTACATAGTCGTGTTATATTGACAGTTGTTAATTTTGTTGAGTATTAGATTTGTTACACCCTGTGGAAACCACAGGCACTTTACTTTATTAAGTGTTCTGGCCCCATTATCTTTATTAACATGAGATTTATGCATATCTAGTTCATTCTATCTTAAACCATATTTAAATGGTGCATTTACTCATTCTGACTGTTTTGATTATTTCCTGTTTGCCATGAATTGTATGCTTGATAAGTTATTACACATCATTTCCGAATAGCTTTCACTAATTCCATTATATAAAAAACATGGAGACTACTAAAAGGCAAGGTTTATACGGTTTTTTGTTTATAGGAGAATTCGATATAAGAAGCGTTCTTTACCTTGAAGGCACTCAGGGAATTATCAGTTGAAATGCCTTTTGATTTCTTAGTTTTGTCGGAACATTGACGTTCGAGAATGTGTAACGTTGGAGCATACCGTTAATCGTTTTTTGTACTTTGGAATGCAAGTCACGGTAGTTAGATTTCAAAGTAGTCTAGTTCAACGATAATCTTTGCCATTGCTGGAACCAACGAAAATCAAATCATTAAATTGCCTCTAATATATGACTACCTAAGTATGCTCACTCGCAACCCTACATGCGGTTGGACCCAGGACCGGGTTTATTGTATAGCATCTTGCCATTTAGACACCAAACTTGGATTTTCTGCTCACTACTTAGAACTTCAGTCGATCCATATAAGTACTGGGTGAAATACCTGCTTACAAGTTAGTTGAAAAAGGATTCTTCATGGAGTGTAGGTTTACGGAACTGATCGTTCGAGTAGTAACCACAGAGATTCACTGAGCGGAGCAAAAGTTTCAATGGCAGAAAAAATCTCACTTAAGCAATGAAATCATCGCTTAATATTCTTAGTGATTTGGTGAGTATTCATAATTATGAGAACTTAACTTATCAGGTGTGTTCATGTTCTAAATTCATGAATTCCGTTTAGGTGTTTAATTGGAGCTTCTATTCTAATACGGCGTTGGAACCTGTTTGATGAATAGACTTTGATGCAGTAACTTGAATTTCAATCTTTTACGGTAATTTCACTGTTACTTCCGTTTCCGATAAATTAAAACTATGTACATGGATTGTATTTTTAGCAATCCTATGTACTTATTATTGGATCAGGTTTCGTTAAGTTTAAGTCAATACTATATACAAACAAGTCATTAAACTATGTAGGTCTATCTCAGTGTTCATTTAATTTATTTTTAATTATTATAAACTAGCGAGTGCCGTATTTTATCCCCTCGAGCATTTTCACGCCTGGGTTTTGTAAAGGATTAGTCAAGTGACTGGTAAAGACATTAAGCCACGTCAGACTTATACAATCCGTCATTGCTCTCTGAGATATTTTTTTCATTAGTATCTATACTACTGATAGCTGGCAAGTAGTGCAATGTAGTTTCATTAGGCTGACTTCAGCAGTTGATATAACATTAACAGAAGTGGCGTGTGTACTAAGATACAAATTCCGAGGGTAAAAATCTGAGAACCAATGGTGCAATGTTTATTGGTTACTAATTATTTACATTCCTAGAAGTTCAGTCTATACAATGTCGATCGTATTTATGGGATAATTAGGTTCGATTATAGAAACAAAGCCTAGTGGAGAGTTAGGCAAAGTAAGAAAAATAGTCGGGATATGATTATTGATGAGGGACAGCATAATCTTTGTTCGTTCACTCAGTAAAGTCGAATATGCAGCCAACTCTTTCTAAGAGCGGAAAATAATCCGACAAATGTACGTATGGTAAAGGTATCACTGCAGTACGTTTATGTTTTGGTAAGGTTTAGTTGCCCAAAATTGAACTGAAAATCATATAGATGGTAGGAAAGGTTAATACTGGTTGACTAATCATATGGAGAAATCAAGTGATTAATCTGAAAATTATTTTAAGGGCATACCATAACTAGCCAAGGATTAAAAACAGTCGTGAAACAACCAATAGAACTGGGTTTTTATAAGTCTTGCTTTCCAAATTATCAGAATAAACTTAAGTAGAAGTAAAAATCTAGTAGTGTCTCAATGTTATCTTGAACAACATTGGAAAATCTGTCAATACAGACATCTGCTAAGACGTCAACTTCGGTAGGTGGCACATCAAGTTAACATACTCAAGTTCTGCACAATTTACAAAGGTAATCAGAAGTAAGATTAATGTATTAGAAGTTTAGGGGTGAATGATGTGTTCATTTTTTTCCATAGCATAGTCGCTTTTTATAGAGCTGTGAGGGGTTTTATCAATTGATGATCAATAGGTAAATTCTTATTTGACATACAAAGTAGGTTTCATTATTTTAAATCTTATGAAATTGATTTAGATACTAGAGACATTTATTCATCTGATAGCAGTTTCCTAAACTTTAAAATTTATGCCGAAAATTTTTTACGATTGGATATTCTGTAAAACTCTGAGCAACTGACAATATGGTAATATCCTTGTCGAGTCAACTGTAACTTGATCAACAAATTATTTAAGTAGAGAGAACTATTACTTCAATAATAACAATGATGGTGCTGATAATGCTTATGATTTGAATTAAATCTTAGTGATAAGTAAATCTATTGTCATTATCACTTTCATCTAACAGTACCATTTTAAACTGGTTCGTATATCATATGATATGAATGGTGGAGTGATGTTTAACATTTGTTTATTTTAGAACGTTTTCACTATTCATCAGATAGTATCCATATATATTTATAATTGGAACGACTTTTTAAAATGTTAATTTGATAATATATGTTAGCTGTTCAGTTTATTAGGGAAATGTAATTGTTTGGAGAGGATACTACATTGAAGGGGAGTCGAATTCGAAGTATTCAGTAATCTCTTATCAACAGGTTGCTATGATATATATATGATAAAAAGTTTTTAAACAAGGCCTTTGAGTATTCTTTTAATTGGATAGGCTAGTGATTGACCTATAAAACATGCATTACCCAACTATTTCTGGTTCAAACAAATTCTAATCATGCTAACTTTTCTGTTTAGAATTTTTACTTATAAGCATATAATCACTAGGAAAAAAGACGTCCTACTAGATAGTTTAATCATTTGATCTCAATTCGTTTAATGCATTGTATTAACAATTTAGTCTCATGAGCAGCAACCGGTTGGGAACATTGTATCGTTCATTGATATATATATTTATATATATGTCCTAGATTGAGATTTTCACAAGCTGTATGCACCTGTGAACTATAAATAGTTAATAATAAGAAATTGCATAAGGATAAAATAAATCTCATCAAATGAAGAGTGCAAGAATTCTTTTTTATTATCTCAATAAAGACAAAGATTTATGATAGTTGTTTGTATTTCCTTATTTAAATTACATTTTCACTATAAAATAAAGAAAACTAGTGTGATCATTTGATTTAATTAATAACTCGTCTAATAAGTACTAGTGTATAGAGTCATTATTCTTGAATTATACCTCTTTAATAAAAGAGCTAATTATTTTACTAGGCTGCTCAAGATAAAGTAGACGAGATAAGTCTTGCAACTTGTAATCCAACCACTTAAAGCCAAATTCTTTAATCTTGATGGAGTTTTGTTCTCTGAGCTGGATGGTTTGGTCGTGGAGCTTTCATCGTCCTTCTGAACGACATCATCAGCACATGTGGAGTAATTCATACACTTCACTTCTACCCGAAGTTTGTGTTGATGATGTCATTCAGAAGGACGATGAAAGCTCCACGACCAAACCATCCAGCTCAGAGTACAAAACTCCATCGAAATCACCCACCTGAGCTACAAATCTTCTCCACCATCTCAAATTCTTTAATCAGTTATCTCACATAACTCGGAAAGCGGATTTTCATATGAATCACGGTTAATTAAAGATATATTAAACAGACATGCGAAGCTCGCTTATTACTAACTTTCATAATAACACTGTGAAGGTAAGAAATGTGTTGCTTTTTATTTCTAAATGAATGTCCAAGTGCAATATGAAGCTTGTCTAATTCAGTAATACGATTTTTATAGTAAAATAGAATTAGTGAGATCTTGTCATTGTATTTGTTTATTCAGCCTAATCTTGAGATTTCCAAAACTATGAATAGTTGGTTCTTAGATTAAATAAATCAGTCTTTGATACGAACTGTAGCACTCAACAATTACCACGAATCTACATATTTTTTATCTACTTGATGATGATTATGTAGAGGCGTTCTACATTGTAAAAGCAATTATCATAAAGAACAGGCATGATCGAAAGAACAGTTGAAAGTAAGAAAACGTCAGACATCTACATTTCACTTTGAGATCCTTAAATAATATTCATTCAAAATACTATGCTGAAACGAATCATGGAAATCTAAGTCACGTTGGGAACGTGATGCTATACTGCTGTCGTTTACAGGTTCAAATACGATAATTCTGTGAAATAGGGCAACCCAATATCATCGGCTAGTGATTATCTCACTTCTAACTTGATCATATATCATTCCTCCCCTCTTGAATCACATTACATTAATCGTGGAGCTTATAGATAGCAAAATTCTATGAAGGCGTCTTGCTAGTCACAAAACGTGATGACTTTAGTTTTCTTTTCGATCCGAAAGTACAAGACT